TAATTTTAAAAAGATGGTCATAAAACAGAAGGGACATCTGCAAAGTAGATTAAATAATGAGTTATCAATTTTAAAATATTTATATTAAATAAGTAGCACACCTGCTAAGAAACAGTGGAATTTAGAAAGGACTGCATATTAAAGCAGCATGTAAAGGTCCTAATTCCAAAGTGGAGAACAGAGAATGTGTTACGCTGGGGAAGAGGTTTTATGTATGTTCTTATAGGAGAAGAGAAATTATGGGTTCCACCAAAACTAATAAAAATCAGATATGACAGAGAAAGACAACCTGAAGACCTTGGCCACACACAAGAAGAGAGAAATCAAGAAGACCAAACAAAACAGGTAACATGAAGTGCTGATCCCTTCACATGGGAACAACTCTGAAACTGAGACATAAAAAAATGTCTCTAGTCAGAACTTCAATAATACATGGCCAATAATTCCTTGGCTACAATATCCTCAAACTTTATTATGCCATTCTTTTAATTAGCATAGATAAAATTAGTTTACAGTTTAGTTTATCCTGTACATCTCATACATTTATAATTTTAGGACTGTATAATGCTTGTGAGAAATTATATGTTTTCAGAACAAAAGGACTGGATACTGGAGACGCTGGATCAAATCTGACAGAATTCATCCTTCCAGCGTGCTGAGATGTTGATGTATCTGTTCCACCATCTTGCATGTTCCAACATTCTTCTTGTTCCTGCCTCAACTGCTTCAAATGCTATTTCTCATCAAAGCCTGTCCCAAGAGAGCTTTGAAGAAAACTATTAATCTCAATTGGTCCAGCATTTTAGACTGTTCCAAACAGGACTCTATTAAGCCTAAATTGCTCAACATTCAAAGAGTGGACCACAAATGTTAATGCTTGCTTAATTAATCATTTTTCCCAATTTCCTTTGGGCCCCCTATAGGATTTCTGCATGTCCAAAAAATCAGCTAGAAACAATTCATGAGAATGAAGTCCAGTTTCCTTTAAGCGGGGGGTGGGGGGTGGATAGGTATTTGGTTGTTTTCTATAGTTATATTTATTGTCATTGGGAGATGGTTTTAAGTTGTGATCTTATTCAGAGAGAAAACAAGGTTAGACTGAGGGATTTCTCTCTTTTCCTTTTTCTTTTTTCTATCTTTCTTTCTTAGATAAGGAGAAAAGGGGTTGAAAAGAAAGAAAGGGGAATACAGGGATATCTTATAGGAATAATAAAACATAAGGTAGATTATTGACTCTACTCGACGTAAGGCTTTATTTGTTATTCTCAAATAAGGTTATTTTTAACTCTGGTATAGTATTTTGTATATTGATGCAAAAATAAGTCTATTTTTAATACATTGGTAAATCTTAGTATATTGATACAAATTCAAGGTTACTTCCAATACTTTTAAACTGCTCTTACAAACTGTTCAGGGTATTAGGTAATGTAAGTTAATTGCTAGTTAATCAACTCATAGTCATGTCAGACACTAGTCTAATTTATCACAGGAATATACATCTTAGGTTTAACAAATAGATGTGATTTTTATGTGATTACATAAAGATAGGTAAGTCTTCAAAAACTTCAGAGACCTACAGAATATAGCATTTACAAATGCCATATTTAAAGATTGTTTTGACAATGAGACAGGTCATCTCCTGTCAGCACCCTGCCTAGCTCAAAGAAGATGATGAGCATCAAAGAACCTCCACATGGAGGTGCCTTCAAATGTGGCAAATGAGCCATCTGGACAAAAAGAAAATGCCCTCATTTCACAACAGACAGAATTCTGCCAAAAATGGGCAAGCTTAAATGCAGGACAAGTCAACTGCCGAACTCTGCCAAGACAGGGTAAGCAAGTCCTAAGTAGTTCCTGCTTTACATGTATGCCTGTCAAATATACTGAGCCAGAAGGCTGAAGATGATACTCCAACGTTATAGACAGTTTGGGGTGATTGTTCAGGCAGCAAACTGTCACTGTCAATTTTTTGGGAAGCTGCTAATATGCACTTCCTATTTACTCCAATAACTAATATTATTCCTTCTCAAGTCTCTGGTGGGGTTGAAGACCAAATAGTTATAGTTCCACAATTAAGCTTAAGTTGTTTAGAATTTAAGAAAATGTTTTCATATAGGTAATACCAATAAAGCTAAAATTTAATTTAGTATAAAACTCTAAACTTGTCAAGATAGGATAATCAAATACTTTCTCCTAAGTTGCCAAGTACACAGACTGGACATTGCACATGTAAATCTTACCTAATGGTTTTCATAACTGTTTTATGATTATTATTGTATTGAAAGAAAAGGAGCCTTTTGTCAGACTTAAAGGGAGAAATGTTGGCATAATGTTCTTACAGAATGTATACGATTTACCCTTGTTCATTCAAATGCTGATTTCTCTCCCCACTATCTGATTTCAATCAGGACATTGCATTGTGATGTTTATTCTAAGCATCACCTGTCTCAAGTTTGTGTAAACATGCCACCATTTGTTCTCTGTATTTTCAATAAAACATCCAGCCAATGCTGAACAAAGGAGAGAATAGGGTGAGATGTCTTGGTCTGGAGGGGAGGAGAAGGAAGTGAGATGAGAGGAAGAGGAGAGATCAGCAGGACAGGACTTGGAACCATGAGGAGAGATGAACCGGACCTAAGATATGACTGAAAGCAAGTATTATGTGGGAAATCCGAATGGGAACTATGAGGGCTTGGAGGGTTAGGATGGAGTAACTATTGCCCAGCATTCTGCTCTAGGTTAATTAAATAAATCCTAGTCTCTTGTGTGGTGATTTGGGTATACAGCTGGTTTAGGAATTAGCACTATTTAACTAAGAGATAAACTAATATTAAACTTTAACAATCAACAAGAAGTTGCCTCAGAAGCTGCTGAGCCATGGTAAAAGGCCCTCAATCAGTACTCGAGAAAGCTGTTTGCCAGCATCATTCCTGGAACGGTCCTGATCATCCTCTCTGGGCACCACAGGGTCAAGAGAGTGGTTTTCCTGAAGCAGCTGGGCAGTGGCTTGCTACTTGTGACTGGACCTCTTGCCTGCAACAGAGTTCTTCTTCACAGAAGAGGACATCAGCAAGGTTAAAATCCCAAACACCTGACTAATAGTTACTTGAAGAAAAAGTAGCTCTGCAAACCCAGGCACAGGGGTGGGGGTGGGGTGAGATCTTTGACACAGAAAAGAAGAAATACGAGATTACAGAGCAGCGCAAGGCTGATCAGAAAACTGTGGACTTGGAGATTTTGCCAAAGAGCAAAGATGTACCTCAGCTGCAGGGCTACCTTCGATCTCAGTTCTCTCTGAAAAACGGGGTGTATCCACACAAACTGGTGTTCTAAATTGAAAACGACCTAATTAAACAGCTTCATTCATTTAAAAAAATTATTTTCAATAAGAAAAAAGATAATAGCAAGACTGCTACAATAAAGGTGATATCATAAAGTCTTTTTCTCTCTAAACTGGTAAATTGGTAAATAATTCTTATAATCTTAAATTCTGATAGAAGGCAAAAATCCATTGAGGTTTTAATTAGATTAAAGTTATACAGTGTATTTATAATTAGTTTTCCAGTCTTGTCTCTTTCACTCAGTTCTTGGGATCATTTGTTTTCATTTTTAGCAAGCAAATGAAAGAACTCAACAGCTCTACCCTCTTCTTGAGTTCCTCAGGCACTGAACCAACTGGAAGCTGCAGTTAGACTCCAGCCTTAACCACGATGGAGACCCAAGATGGCTTCCTCTGTCTAGAGCCATGCCCTTCAGCGTTCCTCCCCCTGCCCTTCCCTTTAACAGCAGCCTGGTTACTCAGGACTGCAAAAGATGAAATAGCCAGCACAAGCTCTTTTCTTTCATGCTCTGCTGACCAAATCAGTTATCTGACAGCCCAGATGTTAGAGACAGAGAAATAGTCACCTCTTGGTGAGGGAGAAGCCTGTGCAAGTTATGAAATCTGTTTTCTTTGGGACTAAATTGCCACATTTCTTTCATTAGCCTTGGAAAAATTCTCTTCAAAAGAGTTTTTCTTGTTGCATTGCCATAATTATTTGTATGCTTTTCTCCTTTGTAATTTATTGACTAGTGCTGGATGAAGAAAACTTTTATTCATACTGATTACTTCTCAGTTTAATATCTTGGTTCTTCTAAGTAAGTAATCATACACTTTGAGAGAATAATGGCATTGTCCCTTCTTTGTCAATAGTTAAATATTTTAATTCTATCTCATAGCTATTTTACTAGCCAAGATGCATAAGGCAAATCCTGTTGAAAGCCACTTTTACTTAGTTTATGTTGTATATTTTCTTCCCTCCCCCTTCTCCTCTTTTCTTTCTCTTTCCTTTCTTCCTCCAATTCTTAAGGTCAACTTAGCACTTTTTTTAAAGATGTATTTTGTTTTTCTTTTTATTAATTATAGTTTATTCACTTTGTATTCTACCTGTAGCTCCCTCTCCCTTCCCCTCCCAATCCCACCTTCCCTTCCTTTTCCCCACCCATGCCCCTCCCCTAGTCCACTGATAGGGGAGGTCCTCCTCCCCTTCCATCTGATCCTACCACTTTTTACAGACCATTCAAGTGTCTTAAAACTGATGCTTTCCCTCCACTCCTGTTGCCTAATTGTTAAAATATTAATATATTCAAAGCTATAAAAAAAAACGATCAATTTCCAGAGTAAAATTAAGCCCCATAGTTATATGTGCTCAGAAGATAAAAGTAAATAGGAAGATGGTTTTCATTCTGTTTAAGTTCCATTCAGGGTGGAGGCAATAAACAAGAAAGAAAGAAACTAATTAATGTTTTAGATACTGTAATATTTCCTGCCTTAAGAAGTCCATTAATTTCTAAAGTAAATCATACCCATTAAACATGTTGATTCTCAAAAGCAACAAGTATCTCTTAACAAATATAAGACGTCATTAGTCTCAGCAGTTCCTTCTCTTCAAGACTGACTTATATGCCAGATGTGATGAGTCGTGCACACAGTAGGATTAGAATATGATTCTTGTACTTACAGGTGGTGGATAATCATACTGTGGAGAATAATCATCAGAGTATGTTGACAAAATACACCTAGGAGGGAGAAACCAAGGTATCAGAAAAAGAAGAATGTCTGCCAAAAGAAAGATACTGACATGAAAAAAATTACATTTCAGTAAAGATTAGCACTGAGAAATATTTAAGTCCACTGTGACCTATCACCACCAACATTCCTTCAATTACTTCTAATTATTCACAACACGATACCAAGCCTAACATCTGTATCTTATGTGCCCTCTATTCCTCAGATTCTACCACCCAGTTTCTGCCTGAAAAGTCCTTTGAGCTCATGTCCCACATTCTCTGTTAGATAAAGACTGTAGAGATTGTGGTAAACACCCAGGTGGCTAAATATTGTGGGCTGTACCCAGACTCCACCTCCCAAACACACAGACGTGCCAGGTGAATATTATGCCCTCCACCAAGTATATAAGATTCGCCCAGCTCAAAAGAGAGTCCCTAAAGTTCTGAAGGTGAAGACAACATGCTACGGGAACCACAAAAGCTGATATCCTGATCCTGAAGGGCAGTTTTAACTATAAGTAAGGAACAAGAAAAGTGATTCTAGGTTCACAGTACTTCCACATTAGGAAGGCTAGGGGAACCCCACTTAAAATCCCAGAGAAATATACCAGGGTCTCTCTATTTAGTGCCCTGATTAAGAAAGAAGTTGTTCTAGAAAAAATGAAGCCATACCTTTGTTCCCAGCAATATTAGAAGAATGGATTGTCAAAGAAAAATATCTGGTTTTGTTTTGTGTTTTGTTTTGGAAAGCAAGAACATTCAACAAAAATCTCAGAACAACAAAATCCAACCCAGGAAGGCTAATGGGTACAGGCAGTAGATTTAGTCTGGCAATGAGCTGCAAGCTCTCTCAGTGTTGCTTCCTGAGCAGCAGTAGCACCTGGAAGCTCAAGAGTTAAGGGAATTCCGTCTTCCCTGGGTTTTGGAGGAAGACCCCAGTAGATACAAAACTTTATGGATGCCCAAGACCCGTCTGTAAATTTGTACTTATGTATAGCACCTGTACATCCTCCTACACATTGTAAGTCATCTCTAGACTGCATATACTACTTAACGTAATGCAAATGTTCTAAGTAAGTAGCCTAGACACTACATGGTTTCAGGAATAATGATTTTTTTTTTAAGTCTGTACATGTTCAGCAAGAGTTGTCTTTCAATCATTTTCAGTCCATGATTGGTTGACTATGCTGGTGTAAAACCCATGGATATGTAGTTAGGTCCTACACCAAGTCTACTGAATTAGACTCTCTATGGGCAGGACTCAGCATTCTGTAGTTTAACAATCTCTGTAATTCTTTCTTTCTTTCTTTCTTTCTTTCTTTCTTTCTTTCTTTCTTTTTTTTTACCTTTTTTCATTTGGTTTTTGGTTTTCAGTTTTTCAAGACAGGCTTTCTCTGTTTAGTCTTGGCTGTCCTGGGGTCATTTTGTAGACCAGGCTGGCCTCGAACTCACACTGATCTGCCTGCCTCTGTCTCCCCGAGTGCTGGGACCAAAGGTGTGTGTCACCACAACTGGCTTAGATAATTCTGATACACACTTGAGTTTGAGTAGTGATGACAAAAAAAAAAAAATAGATGTTTACATGAGAGGAGTGAAGCCTTAAAAAAAGAGAGTAGATAATAGAACATAGCATGTGGGGGACATGTTCTGGTTATAAGTTTAAGCAAAGATGGGGATAAAGGGATGAGGAGGAGGAGGAATTAAGAGTAGGTTAAATAAAACTAAGATTGTCCAAAATATCTTATGAGAACCTACTGCTTTGTAAACTAATTGAAAATACAGTTAAAAAAAGAAGTTTGAACATAGGTAGCCTGCAAGGGGAAACAGTGCTTCCCCCAGAAGATATGGGATATTAAATGAAGATCTCAGTGTGTGGTAAATCTCCCTCTGGTCAGGGAAGTTCCAGAGAAACCCCCCTCCCTAGCCTCCCCTCCCCCCAAAAAAAAACCCTCAAACTACTGTCACTGCTCTTGGCTGTCCACTATAGCCAGATGGTAAGATCATCCTGATGAAGACACAATACACACTAGTTAAAGGACACAGAAGAAATCAAACAAGAACTAACCTGGATATTCTCTCTCCCTGCTTGATAACTTTCATAGTGTTGGATCATGTTTTGTAGGCCACTGGGACAGAAAAGCCATCAATGGACTTACTAACAGTGACCTATGCATGCTATAATATCAACCTCCCTACTCTACCAATAATGGTATGACTGTTATGGAAATAACCAACAGCTTTCCAATTGCACAGAAGGGAATTTATGCCTGGTACTGTAAGCCTGAGAAAACCCCACAGTTGGGGAGGTCCACAGCTCTAGTGGGTAACATTGCTGTTTTGATAATTTAATAATGTATTTAAACTATCTTGTAAATATTTATGTTTATACCCATAAATTAGCACAGCTCTCAACCTGGTCAGAGAAGCCTTTTTTTGCAGTGAGTAGCAGTCAATGCAGTCTCATATGGGTCAAAAGTGCTGAGCTTTTTCACCCAGTGACTTTTGAGTACTCAGCTCTAAATTTGTTACTTATCAATACCCCTCCACATACCTCAAGGCTCAGAAAATGTCACAGAAGAGGAGGCAGAAAGAATTTAAGATATTGAAGATAGGGAGAAGTTTGGTATAATGATGTCTTCTGGACATGATATAGTCACTGGACTTATGAACTCACTGCAGCTAAGGTTATTGGCCTAAGACCTGTGCAATAACATTACTTGACGTTCCAGCATGAATGGGAGAAGAGCTTGTGGAGAGCCACTTGTTTGTCAGGATGCCTTATTATTGAGCTCTCAGCAAAAAACATGTTTTCACCCTGGCCTTCACCTGGAGACAGGGATAGACAGGGTGTGTTGCCAAGTTCACTTCCTTTTGTTTGTGTAAGGATCACACACACAGGAAGTCAAGGTAAACAAGTTTGACTTCTTGATGAACTTCATTGTATCAAAAAAGTGCTTTGCTCTAACTATAAAAAGGGACTGTGGAATAAACTGAGTGTCTAGTTTCTACTAAAAGCCTTCTTGAACAGATCCTATGAGTAGTGTCTTGTTTTTGTTTGTTTGTTTGTTTTTGGTTTTGTTTTTTCTTTTAATCCTCACTTCCCACTCAAGAACTGTTTGACTCTGCCAGCTGGCTCCAGCAAGAGCTAATGGCAAATGATGGCTTCTAGGGGAGAGAGGTAATTTTTCTTCTTTGTGGCTTTACCCATGCTTTGGTGGATGACCCTATACTAATGAATATGCAGGCAGCAAAAACTGGGCCCAGTGGTAAGAGGGTTGAGATAGATAGATAGATAGAGAGAGAGATAGATAGATAGATAGATAGATAGATAGATAGATAGATAGATAGA